GTGATATTGGATTGTTGGAGAGGGGAACATTCAAGGTAATGCCATGCGATATGTCTCACCCACAGAGAAAGTGAATAACTTCCCACCACTGCCCAAATTCATCCCGCTGAAGCCATGTTTCTACCAAGACTTTGAGGCAGACATTCCTCCCCAGCATCTCAGCATGACCAAGCGCCTCTACTACCTCTGGATGTGTGAGTGCTGTGGGATGGGGTGGGTTAGAGTGGGGGTATGGAGGATGGAGGAAGGCTGGTGGGCGTGGGCATTAGGGTGAGGTGCCTGTAGGCCAATTGTCCTTCAATTCAGCCCTACTTGCAGCATCTGCATAGGCCAGTAAGTCTTTCTCCACCTGACTCGCATCAGGCTCCTCTCATGGGCCGACTCAGCTGGGCCTCAGTTTCCCTTAACCCAGCATCTAGGCCTCTCTTTCCTCCCACCCCCTTCTCCCATTTACAGGGCATCTGGATAGGGGTCTCTGTCTACAGTGTAACTCCTCTTTTTTTGCTCTCCTTTTCCCTTCTCACTGGAGTAGTTTTCCAGGGAACCTCTGGTGGCTGCCAGGACTTCAGGATTCTAGATTTGGAGAGGGATCCTTCCCTCAAAGCCTCATTTTTCTTGCTTTCTCTGGAAAATGGCTCCAAAAAAAGAACATTCAACTGGGAGTTGGGAGATATGGGATCAAGCCATTCTGGTCACTCTACTTCCCAAGCAGCAGATTCCTCATTAGTAGAAAGAGGGTGTTCGCTCAGTGGTCAGTGTGGTTCCACGTAGCTCTGTGTTGTGTGGTTGGTCCTTCCAAAAGTCTAGATTTCTAATGTTCTAAGATTTTGAGGTCAAGAGTTTAAAGGCCTTAGTTTCTGTGGCACGTTCGTGGGAAAGGTATCATCTTAGGGGAATGAGACTTGGCTGTGCCCAGGCTGGTCAAAGGTGCCTCTTAGGCATGTGTAAGGAGAGTAGGCTGGTGGTCCTATGCTGGGTACCAGCCCCAGAAAACCACAGACATCTGCAGGGTGACCATAGCCAGAGTCTGCCACATGTGATGTTGCCTTGAATCAGGCCTCCACCTAGCTGTTTACCTGGGGAGATGATTGATTGTGCCAGGAAGGTGGTAAAGAATGCTGTCTTTGCGGCAGGTATTTCATGGAATGTTTGAAAGAGTATGGGGACAGACAGACTCATTTTCAAGTCCTGACTTGGCCTTTGGGCAGCCATGGGGCCATCTTTCCCCCTGTAACAGAGAAGGAAGGGATGGGGGCAGTTGTGGGTATGTCTGTAGGTGTTGGGAAGAAAATTAGAGTTTGTCTCTGATGGCTTGCATTTTTCTCCCATCAAATAAGATGTAGAACTGGGGATGAGAGCTTTGAGGAGACTGGGATTAGAATGAGAGCACATTTGTGGACAGAGAATGAGGACACTGTCCAAAGAAACATGACCCCTAATCTTCCTGGGCCATGCATAGGGTCCATTTGAGATTGGCTGCTATGAATTTATAGTCCTACCAGGCTTCTCCTGGATGTGGGGTCTCTTTTTTTTCTAGCAACATTCAGCTCAGGTTCAGATGAGAGCTCGGTTCATCCTCAGGTTCAGATGGGAGCTCTGTTCATCCAGGGTGAATGTGACCAGAATACAGGGTAGGAGAGTGAATAAGAAAATGAGTGTAAAGAAGTATGGAGTCTAAGCTGGGTAAAGAGAGAAGTGGAGATAGAAAAAAGTTGATGGCTAGAAAAAGAGTAGCCAAGTCGATGGATGTCTGTTCCAAAGAGGCAGTAGGATATTGCATTAGAGGTACTAGATCAACTGAGCTGGAGAGAGGTGGGACTGGGAAGAGAGATGTAAACCAATATATAAACAAGTTAATGTCTGGTCTATGTAAAGAGCAAATAAAATCACTAAGAACACCGAGGTTCCAGGAAATTTGGGAGTAGTAAACAGAAATGGAGGAAATGAAGCCGAAATGCATAGGAAGAAATGAGGGACCTGAGATGGGTGTACCTGCACAGGTGACAGTGTTGTCAGGCCGGACTTGTCTAGCTGACCCTGGGCTCTGGGAATTCTGCCCCTGAGACGATCTCATTCTGGAGCTGGATTTAAGAGCTATAAATATCTTCCTAAGTCCTCTCTAGGCACCTGCCAGATGCTTTGCTGCTAAAGAAATGTATATAACCCTTGACACGCTTAAGGGTTCTGTTCAGATGCCAAGATCATAGATGTCTGGCTGTTTGAGGCTTAGATTGAGCCCACCTTTCTTTGTTTATTTGGTATGTCTTTGTGGAGCCAGACAGGGACTCAGCCTAATGATAGGGAGCACTCTGATGCCAGAAGACTTGGGTGTGTGTTAGTGCCAGCATCAGCTGGGGAGTCTTTGAGGTCCTTGCTGGCTGTGACTCAGTGATTTTGTGATTCCAAGGTTCAGCTAGATTATGTAGATGCAGAGGAGGGGAAGCCTGGGTCCTGCTTTTGTGAAGTTTCTAATTTTGTTGATGGGCTGCGATTTGTACTTGGGGAACTGTGAGAGCAACCAAGGCCTGCAGGAGTTCAGAGAGATGGGGGATAAATAAGGCTGCAGTAGTGAAAGAAGGCTTCTTGGAGGAGATGGAATGATAGTTGTCTAAGAAACAGATTAGATAAAGACTGAGATCCCAGCCACCACCACCTGCCCCATTTAAGTGCAGGGCACATGGTGCAATGGCTTGAAGAGATGTTTCCACAAGGCCTTTTACTTTCCCCTTTTTGTGCCCCTACCTTTTAAGAAAATATGTAAGGTAGTTTCCTGTGCCTTGGCCTTGGTAATTACTGTAGGCCTGGAGGGCCAGGAGCTGAAGCCATTCTTATGAGGAGAATATTTCTACTATCCTGAAGTTTTGGGGCCCTCCAACTGGGTTTGTTAGGCTGGGTTTGTTAGGCTAAGGCGCTGACTCTCTGCTCTGAAGGCTCTTTGTTCTCCGGATTTCTCAGATCCCCAAGAGCGGGTGTGAGGAGGGGGTTGGTCTGAGCTCCCAGCTTTCTTTCTTACAGCCTGTACTCCTTATGTGTGTGTGTGTGTGTGTGTGTGTGTGTGTGTGTGTGTTTATTCACTGATGTGGATTGTGGGTGTGAATGTGTATAAATGTGGTTTGCATGTGTGTTTGTGTGTGTTTACATCTCTGTGCTTGTACTGTTTGCATGTGTTTGATTGTGGGTCTGTGTTGAGTTATGGGTGTGTGTGTCCATGTCTGGGTGCTCATATATCTCTCCATGGGCCTGGTGTCTGCGTGTGTGTCTGGTGTCTGTCTCTGTGTGTGCATGTGCTCCTGGGTCTACAGTGAACAGCGTCACGCTGGCCGTGAACCTGGTGGGCTGTCTCGCGTGGCTGATCGGAGGCGGGGGAGCCACCAACTTTGGCCTCGCCTTTCTCTGGCTCATCCTCTTCACACCCTGCTCCTACGTCTGCTGGTTTCGGCCAATATACAAGGCCTTCAAGTAAGTGGTTGGTGCTGACCCTGGCTCCTAACCCTGCCTCTTTGCTCATCTCCCCTGTCTCTTCTCTACACGTTTTCTCATCTTTTTAATTTTTTTTTTTTATTTTTTGCCATCTCCCAAACTGATTTTCCCTTGTTCACCAGGAATGATTTGGGCTTCCTGGGAGCTCTAGGCTAGGAGTCAGAGCCTTCCTTTTAATTCCTTCCTTCCTTACTCTACCCTTGGGTGGGGGCAACATACTGACCAGGCCAATTTTTGTTTTGCCTTTCTCAAGCAGCTGCATGTTAAATTTTGTCAGTGGGGCCACCTATCTTGGTGAGCTGCCCCTCGTACTCATGGGGCTAGCTGATTTGGTACCAAGTGGACCATCTGTTCATGTACCAATGGAACCAGCCATCCATATACCACTGACACTATTTATGTGTTAATGAGGTCCTCCAACTCTCTGCCAAAGGGACCACTCATCCATGTGTCAGTGGGGCTAGCTCTCTTGGTGCCCATGGGTGTCTACTTTGTATCAAATGAGATTTTCGGTGTTTGTGCCAATTAGACTATTCATCCATATACCAACAAGACTATCTATCTTGGTGCCAGTGAAGTATCCATGGTGCCTCAAATGTGTTTGCCAATTGGACCATCCATGTATGTGCCAATTAGGCTACTTTCTTGGTACAAATAAGGTGTCCATTCTAGTGCCAATGGGACTTTCTAGCTCTGAGCCTATGAGACCATCCATCCATGTACCAGTGGAGCTAGCTGTCTTGGTGCTAGTGGAATTGTCCATCTCTTTGCAAATGGGGTTGTTTATTCCTGCCACAATGGGCCCATCTATTTCTGTGCCAGGGGGGCCAACCATTCATGTACCAATGGGTGGTCCATTTATGAAAAGATTTCTCCTTATATAATGTTGCACACAAAGTTCTAACACATAGACTCCCATAAAAATCCATCGATAAATGCCATCCCATTTTGGCCTCTCAGTTAAAGCCTTTGAATGTCTTCTGTTCATTGTGTACTTACTTAAACTTAGAAGGGCTTGGGGACCTTGAAGGCAGGGAATCCCTGGCCCTCTGTCCAGTAAACAGGAGCCATCTTCTTTGTTGCAGGACTGACAGCTCCTTCAGCTTCATGGCATTCTTTTTCACCTTCATGGCCCAGCTGGTCATCAGCATCATCCAGGCTGTGGGCATCCCAGGCTGGGGCGTCTGGTAAGAGACTGAGGTATCTGGGACTAACCCAGGGCTGGCATGGGTGGCACTTTGGGTGTGTCTTTGCTTACCTCTGTGTGCTAAGCTGCTTAGCCTGTGGGGACACCATGAATTTTTGGAAGTGTGAAAGGATTCAGGCTAGTGTAGTAGACACAGCCCTAGCATCAGAGAGGAAGGAGAACCTCACGTTGGTTTTTGAGGGCTGAAGGGTGTCAAGCATTATGGGAAAACTCAAGGGAAGGAAGCCTTATATATGAGGAGCTCATTTGCTGAGCCATGGGGTGGGTTCTTCCTGAGCCACTGACATAGGCCTTTTGAGATCAGTAAGGTGGTCCCTTTGCATCCAAAATTAAGGTCCCTCCCTGTAGCAATGACATGGTCCCTTGCTCTAGTGTCTAGCGGGGTGGCTCCCGGGCGGCCCCATGCCACACAGCCCCACAGCTGGCCTTTTCCTGCAGTGGCTGGATTGCTACCATCTCCTTCTTTGGAACGAACGTTGGCTCAGCGGTGGTGATGCTCATTCCTACTGTCATGTTCACGGTCGTGGCTGTCTTTTCCTTCATTGCCCTCAGCATGGTATGTAGTCATCTCAAGGGTGAGAGGGTGGGTTTTGAAAGGGGCTGTGATCTGTAATGACACCTTCCAAATGACAGGAGGACCCAGAGGTTTTCCCAGAGGCTCATTCTGGAATGGCTTGGTGGACTTTGTGCATTAGGACGCACAGAGCATGGGTGGGAGGGAAGACTGGTTTTACAGTGAGTTATCTCTGGTTCCCGTGTCTTTACTGGATGGCTCGCCTTTTTGATTAACCCTTCCTTGTGCTCCTCCTTCTACAGGTTCATAAATTCTACCGGGGCAGTGGGGGTAGTTTCAGCAAAGCTCAAGAGGAGTGGACCACAGGAGCATGGAAGAACCCACACGTGCAGCAGGCAGCCCAGAATGCAGCCATGGGGGCAGCCCAGGGTGCCATGAATCAGCCGCAGACTCAGTATTCCGCCACCCCCAACTACACGTACTCCAATGAGATGTGAGCCAGCTGAGCCTGCTAGGAGGCAGGGTTGAGGGCTTGTGGGACCAGGGCTCAAGCCACATCATTGTGTTGTGGTGACCAAGCAGGGTTACCCGTTCCCTTTTCTCCTGTCCCACTTTGTACAAAGAATCACATATATATACATATACGTATATATGTATATATATATGCGCCATGGGGAGGGCATATGTATATGTATATGTATATGTATATGTATATGTATATGTATATGTATATGTATATGTATATGTATATATATGTATATGTCTATCCCCCCGTCCCCTTTGGATTCTGCTCTGAGCATTCTGAGAGCTGTGGGCTACACGTAGAGCTGTCCCATATGGTGGTAGCTATGTACATGTCCCCTTGTGTAATAGTGTGCAGTGGAGGTCTCTGTTGTGGTGCTAGATGTATGTTTAGAACTAAACCAGCCCCCTACCCTCCCCCAGGCTACCCGCTTTGACCTTGGCCCAAGGACACCTCATGAGGCAAGGGAGACATAGCAGAGAGAGCCTAGCCCCCTACCCAGTGTTATGAGCTGAAACTTATCACTTTTGGTCTTACTAGGAAGCAACTCACGATGGTGGTGGGTGGGAGGGTGGGGACAGGCAGGGAATCTTTCCTTGCTCCTTCTGATCTGGGTCCCCTCTCCCTCACTTCTTCCCCTCTTTTCTTCCTGCTGTCACATTCCCTGTGGTCTCTTCTCTTGTCCAAGGTCTCTTTCCTCCCCATCTGGCTTCTCTTTGTCTTCCCCAAGGCTGAATGTCCCAGTTGTATCTGCTCCCGAGACTGAGCCCATTCCCGGGACAAGGAAGTAGGCGCTAAGCTTTAGCCCTGATGTGGGAGGACACACGGATGCAGAGCCCCCCTAGGCACCTGGCTCCCAGGGAATGGCAATGCAGGGTCATCTCCCTCACTGTCAGAGCTTGGCCTGTTGGGGCAGGATCCTCTTTTCCCTACCCTGTTTACCCTCCTTCTCTGTTTACCCCATAAGCCCCTCTGCCTATGTCCCTCCGTAAACCCCCAGATGCTGTGGCCTGATGCTCCTACCCTACCTCCATCCCGTGCCAGGTGGCATCTGCCATCCATAAGGGCAGATTCCGCTGCCTTCCCTGAAGAACTGGGGGTGTTGTCCAGGCAATTTTCAAGCAAAGGTACAGCTGGAAGAGAGGATATGTAAATAATTATTGGTTCATGGGTAAGGTTTGGCTAGTTCAAGCCCCCTGGGAGGTACTAGGTATCTCTGGATTCCTGGCAGCAGTAGCTGTTCAGTGTGAGCAGAAGGGACAGGCTCAGAGGGCTGGGCATGGAAGGATTATCAGAGGAGAGGGCAGGCAGGGCCCAGTGAGAGGGGAACATGCCTTCCCCATGCAAGTTAGCTCTTGGTCACAGGGCAGTTCTGGACACTTGAACTAAGGGCCCAAGAAGAAGCACAGGCCCAATACTATCTGCAGGCGTAATGGCTGGAATGGGATTTCAGTTTAGGTGTGGTGGGAGGGGAGGCTCCCTGGCTTTTTTTCCGTGCCGCCCCCCCCCCCGCCCCCCCAATTCAAGATAACTTACATCCTTTGCCTACTGGCCTTAGTTCTTGGCCCTTCCTCACACTGCCAGAACACTTTTCCCTTCTTAGGCAGTGATTTCTGGCCTATAGAGCTGTTCTTTTCCAAGCATTGTGAGAATGTTGCTGGTAAAGACCCTGGCGGGGAGTGGATTCTCACTTAAGGAGTGGATTCTCACTTAAGGAGTAGCTGCCCGTTTCCCGCCCTCGCTTCTACTTGTGTGTTTGGCCTGAAAAACCAAACCCTGCTTGGAAATTCTGGGCTGGCTCCAGCTTGAAACCAAGCACCTGGGCTTCTAGGTACAATCCTTAGCTTTGAGCCCCAATACGTCATTTTCTTATAAGGAGAGCCAGGGTTCTGGAAAGTTCCCTTCCTAATGGTCCCTCAGGCTTGGGCCAGCCTGTGATTGGCTCTTTCCTCTATAGCACTTTTTCTCTGGAAAGCATTTGTCAGAGTCCCCAATACCTGAAAAGAGTCCCTAGCTCTAGACCCTTCCTCCCCTGTCCTCTCCCCAACTCCAGGCCTCTGGCCCTCTTTCTCTTAGTCTCTCTGGTAGCTCCAAGAAGCCTGTGGTCCAGCTGCCAGCCAGGATCCATGACCTGTTGGTTGTCACCTCCAGTCAATTTCCTGCCCTACCTGTCTTTCCTCTTTCCTGGCTCAGACCTATATGGCCATTCCCTGACTCTGCCCTTGGAAAGGCCTGCTACTTGTATGTGGCACAGCTTGTCCAGGCCCTGGGATCTCCAGGCAACTATGCACTTCCCTGGGGAGGGAACCAGTTTGAGAAGTGGGGGCTGGGCACAGGTTCATCTCTGCTGGATGGTCTTGGGGTTGGGTTGGAGGAAAGCCCAGGTTATTTCTGGAATCCTCAGGTCTATGGCCAGCCAGTGACCTACTTTTGTATTCTGCTGGTGCCCACTGCTCTTCCTTGTTTCTGGGAGACACAGACCATTCTCCATCTGGCAGTTGACCAGCCTGAGCCGGTGTGTCTGTCTGTGGTAACTGAGTGAACTATAATAAAGGAGATATTTGGCCATATGTATCCTGCTGTGTCATGTGTCTTCATGTGGGCTGTGGGGCATGAAGGTAGGGTGCGTCTGTAGCCTATCATTCCCTGGGGCCAGAAGTCACACACTTCTGTTTGGTTCTTTTTCTGAGGCAGAAAAAAAGTAGGCCTTGAAATTGCCACAGAAGCCTCCTGCCAGTTATGAGGTGGAGTTCTGAGTTCTCTGAGGTGGAAGCAGAAGGTGGGATTAGTGGGTGAGAGTCGGTTTGGTCCAGCTGGTCCCTGTAGGCAAGGGCAGGGGCAGAGCATAAAGGGCCACACTCAGCTCTCATGACGGAGAGTGGCAGCTGATTGAGCAGCCTGAATGAACACAAGGCATTCCAGGGCCTGTGGTGCTGGAGAATGGAGAAGGTAGTGAAGTATACTCAACCTGCTTCCTCCTGATGCTTTCCTGTTGCCAATGTCCTGCCCTGCACTTGGGACTGCTGTTCTGGCACTCTAAGCCCTTTGCCATCCTTCGAGATTCACCCTGAGTGACTCATTTTCTGAGAGGGCTTCCCTGCTTCTAAGATTTACGCCTCTCTGCTTCCTCACGGAGGACATTATTCTGTAATTTCCTGTATCCCTGCTTGTCAAGAGAAGGGACACGTTTATCTCTGTAAACAGTGCACTTAAAACATAGAAGAGGCTTGCTAAATAGTCACAACTCAGTACTTCAACGATGAGCAGTGTGTATTTGTGGGACGGGGGTATAGGATGAGAAGAACGGACAATTAATTAAGTGAAGCCAAGGCGGAGCACCTGAAAAACCAAAAACGGAGAGCCAGAGTTCGCGGCAGGACTCTCTCCAGCGAACTACAACTACCAGAAGGCAGAGAAATGGACTACAACTCCCAGAAGGCTGCGCGATCACGTAGGCTGCCAGATACTCTCGTGAGATTGAGTGCCAATCAGAATCAGCGCGAAGGGCGGCCGAGATATTGCGATATTTGGGGGCGCCTCCGAGACGCGCCTGGCGCGGGTGAGGAGACGAAGGGGGTTCGGGGAATGAATCCTCGCTGCAGGGCGGAGTGAGAGGGAGGCTGAAGAAACTTAGCTTGCGACCGGGTCTGCGGGTGTGCGTATGTGTCCTCACTTTTGTGCGTGTAGGGGCTGTGGAGCTTCACTTTCCTCTCTGTGCCCGTGGGGCGGGAGCATTAGGAACCCCTTCCCGGCTCGAGCCTGAAGTGGAGGATTTGTTTTTTGCGCTTCCATCCCCGCTTTGGGCTGCTCGGCGATTGTCTAGTGCTGTTTAATCTAGTTTAAAAGGTGGCCCTGTCAGTTCCCCACACTTAACCAATTGCCTTAAAAAAAAAAAAAAAAAAAAAAAAAGAAATCATGAGCCTGCTTCCAAAAAGGAATAGGGACTGACCAAAATACAAATTATCTTATAAAAGTTGTTTAAATAGAAAAAGCTGAGCCTTGGAATGTTGCAGTTAGCTCCTAGATCAGCCTAAAAGTACTGACTGAGATTTAAAAATTAGACTGAGGCCACATTTTGTCAGAGAAAAATGCTGTTTTTTGAAGTATTGGAGGCTCATGCCAGATAATGGGCAGGAGAGATTGCCAAGTTGGGGAAGTGGTGTCAGGAGCAAGAGTTTTCCTCATTTCTTCCCTTGGCTGAGAGGTGGCAGTACTGTCATTCCCTTGCTAGTAGCCCGCCTGTGTGAATATAATAACCTACATCTCTCCCAACATGTGGCCTGGAGGAGGGGTGCCTGGGATTACGGGAGCAGCAGAGTCAAGTATACTGCTTCTGGTTTGAGAGAAGAGCATCTTAGAAAGCCAAGGCCTTGAGCTCTCCCTGAAGAGTTCCTTGTCTTTCTTTAGGAGAAGGGGTTCAAAGTACTCCTGTGGCCATATGACTTCTTTTAATGATTTTGGGTTTGGGGGCAGGGTGACACGTTGGTGAGTGATAGGTGGTTCATTATTACTGTGGCAGAGAGTAGAGTGTGTTGACTGGTAGGAGATGAGGTCAAAGCAGAAGCCTGGGGCCAGTAGTGAGGGGCTCAAACATTAAGAATTTAAGTCCTGGATCCCTGCCCATCCCCACTCTCACCCCCACCCCTGAGTTTGGTTCTGCTTTTGCTTAGGCCCCAGCCCCTCATCATTCCTTTGTGGGCTAGGCTCATACCTTGTCTGAGCCCTGGTTCTTCCCTGGACCCACACCTGCCCTTATTGTGACTGACAGGTATCACAGAAACTTTTATTTAACTGCCATAATTAAATTCGTAAGAGATTTACATACCATGAGCCTGCCACAGGTTGAGGCTCTTTACTCTGGCCCTATCTTTCTAAAGCAGCAGTCCCCAACCTTCTTTGGCACAAGGGACCGATGCTCCTATGAAGCTGAGGTGAATCTGAGGTGGTGATGCTAGCACTGGGGAGCGGCTGCAAATACAGATGAAGCTTTGCTTGCCAACCTGCTGCTCATCTCCTGCTCTGCGGCCCAGTTCCTAACAGGCCACAAACCAGTACCAGTCTGCGGCCCGGGGGTTGCGGACCCCTGTTCTAAAGGACAGAGAAGCTGCCATTTTCCTGGCTGTGGCTTATCTGCATGACTGGTGCCCTGGGAGCTTGAGGCTTAGTAGACAGCCTTCAGCCCTATAACCTCTCTGCCTGCCAACTCTTTCTGCTGCTCAGGTGTTCCTTATGAGTCCAGCAGAGCCCAGGGAAATGAGCTGCTGGTTACAACTGCCTTGGCTGTGCAAATAGATGGTTCTAACAGGAATTGGCTAGAGTAACAGACTTACTGTTGGGATTTGATCTTTTTTGAGCATGAACATAACTGCTAGCTGTCAATTTCCATGGGATTGTCAGATTGAATCAATTTGACCTTGCTTTCAAATGTTGGTTAAATTATCCCCTTTCTACTCCTCAAATACAAATCTCCCACCCACTTTTTAGAAAGGTAGGTAGGCTTTGGTCCTTAGCAAAAATTGCTCAGTAGGCTCAAGTAGTAAATCTTGGGCTGTACCATGTATTGTGGGGTGATTGAAGTCACCAACATGGATTCCTGCCCCAAGTTTAACTGCTTTCAGTAACCTGTTCCTTAGGAATGATATCAGCCTGATGTGGAGGAGTTTCAGGGGATGCATAGATGAACTTCAGCTTCTGGTTTCATAGAAAACTCTCTGTCCTAGCACCAGTTGGCTGGAGTGGGACAGGGTCAAAGTTTGAGATCTGGCAGGTTTCTCTGGAGAGTGAGGAATGTGCCTACATCACCTACTGTGGGTGCTGATCAGACTGCTGATTAGTTCTTGGAAGAAGCTGGATGATAGGCCAGTTGCTAACAGGGCTCCCCAGGCCCTGGAGTAGATACATTTCTGCTCTAGGCAAGCAGGGCCCTGGTGTAGAGCAGAGATTGAGGTCACTGGCAAATGGAACTTTGGGGGAGTCTTGCTGAAGGGAACTGGTCTGTGCTTAACCCCTACTGAGAAGGCTCTGGGCCTCTGAGAGACCCTTCCAGGTAGGAGTAGGATAATAGATCCAAACATGATCTTCAGCTCATGTAGGTATATACCTGAGTCCTGAAGGCAAATACTGGGCAAAGAGGCCCTAGGGAGCCAAGGGGCCTGTAGAGTAAAGAGGAAGCCCCTGTCCTGTGGGTGCACAGCCATGGAGGTAGTCATTGAGAGACTCGCGGGCACTTTCTCCTCAGGGTCTGCCTTGGTAACCCCTCTGTTGCTGATTCTGCCCATTTTGAGTGCATATTCTGGGACTCTCTAGTACAGAGAGCCCTTACTGCTGTCTTCCTGCATTGACTCAGAAGGTTTCTGCTGGAAGGAGCTTTAAAGATTGCATGTTCCTACTGCTGTATTTTTCAGATGAAGAAATAAGTCTAGAGAGGAAGTACTCTAGGCCTAGGCCACATACCAGGTCAGGAGCACAACCATGAACAGGGCCCAGCACTTGGGATTCACAGGCCAGGCTTCTCTCCTCTGCCACACCCTGTTTCAGAGGGTACAGTTTATTATTTATTTAGCAGATGTTTGGGACCCACCAAGTGCCTGGTGATTGGCAATTAGACCTGGTCACACATTCAGGGAGCTTGCTGGTCGTGGTATGGAAGTGGAGAGGGAGAGGCAAAGAAACCTGATGAACAAATTGAATCGATGATCACCAAAAAGGTGCACCCCAGAGAAGGACCCGTCTCAGGTGATTTCAGGTATTACTCCTGTCTTTCCAACTCATTTAAAGTGACTGTGTCTTCCACAATTCTTTTGCCCTCAGTAATTTGTCCTCAGTGACTATTGCTAATGGAGTGAGTATGTTTTGCTGGTCCAGCCTGCAGAATGTTGGTTTTGGTGTTTACATCAGCCATATGATCATGGGCACACACTTATAGCAACATCTGAGAGTCAGAGGAATAAACCAAGTAGCTGGTCTCATGGGGCCTACATCCCCTTTATGCTTGTCTCTTCCTGGGCTTGGGTTTGTCCCAGTCTGATCTACAGGGACAGAGAGGCAAATCTCTCAGCTCCCTGAAGCAGCCAAACCCCCTCGTAGCCTAGGGTTCTACTTCACATTTAACCTTGGAACTCATCTCGTCTTGCTACTCCCTTCAGTCAGTCAGCCTGGCCCACTACAGTAGCTCTTTACTTTGCCCCTTCAGTCTCATCACCACCGGGGCCCCCTCCACACTGTCACCAGCACCATCTTTCTAAAATGAAAACTCACCCTGGCCCTCACCACCCTTGACACTGCCCTTGACCTGACTTTTCAGACTTACTGCCCCCCTGCCCCACCCCATTACACTTTAGCCTCACTAGTAAGCTACTCCCTGTTTTCCAAGCCTGCCACCCTCCTTTAGGTCTTTTCACCTTTGCAAGAGTTTTTTTCTTTCTGGAAAAATTAATTCCTCTTTTAGGATTCAACCTGAATGCCATTTTTTTGGTTTCTGACTTCCTCAGAGTTATTCCTGGCCAGCCACAGCCCCTGGTATAGACCTTCCTCACAGCACTGACCACATTACATTTTAACTTACCTATGAGTGCTGAGGCTATCTGACCTTATCAAACTCTGTGCTCCCAGAAGCTGGGACTGCCGACGCCTCAGGAACCCCAGTGTCGAATGTATGAATGAAGTGGGTGCCCTTTTTTCTGCTTTTAGATCCTAAATTTTGACAGCTTTATGGAGCCCACTTCTGGCAGGCTGCCAGAACTTGAAGCCACCAGACCCCACATGGAACCAAGGTCCTCATGTCCAGCTGCTGCACCCTTGGTAGAGAGACAGTACCATGTTCTTGTGGGTGTCACTGGGAGTGTTGCAGCCCTGAAGTTGCCTCTTCTGGTGTCAATGCTTTTGGACATTCCTGGTGTGAGTATCCTTATTAGACAAACATGGCAGCCTCTGATATTAAAAGATTGCTGTTCCTGGAGCCAGCCCATTTTTGTTCAGTGCATGAGGTTTTCTTTTTATTAATTGGGGTGTTTGTGGAAGTTCTCTGTGTTCATTGATATGAGGACATTGCGGGAGACAGAGACCAGTGTGACAGTATAACCAGGAGCTAGATTAGATAGTGTGGACAGAGCTCGAGGGGAGACTGGGACAGGAAAGCTCTGGTGAATGGAGGAGCTGAGTTTCCATTGTCGACCCTGAGTTTCCTTGAGGTCCTGGTATGGGAGGAGGGCTGGCCAGAGAAATGCAACAAATTCTCAGTGCCCCCTTGCTGCTTTGGGCTCCCTGTCCCCCCTCCATCCCCCGCTTTCACTCTGTCTTTAACACTGTGGCTCTATTCTCCCTTTGAGACACTGTAGCTGTTCTGTCAGTGCAAATGCACTGGAACCTCAGGGGCATTTGCGGCAGCTTTGGTTTAAACTTAATTCCTTCAAGTGTTCAGAGTTACCCAGGGGCCACCACAGTGTGTTGGAGATTGATAGGTTGAGCCCCTGCCCTTGACCAGACCATATCAACTTTGATCAGTTTTATATATTGGGGTTCTGGGGCAGGTTCTTCTGTGGGAAAGATTCAAGGCTTTAAACAATGTAAATGCCAGCAGGTGACAACCCCACTTCCTTTTCTGGTATCCAGGTGCTTTGATTGTTCTGTTGCTCTTTCACTGCTGCACACTTCACTCAGATGACCTTTGCTTTGGCTAGCCCCTGCCAGGTTGCACTGCCCTCTCTGCTTCTGTCTGCCATTTCAAATTCTGCACAAAACCTTCATCTAGAAGCCTTACTAGCCTGCCTCAGCTCATGTGGTTTTGTTCCCTTCCTTTTAAAACTCATCTGATGTTTTAAGGTGGTAAAAACAGATTTGATTCAGAAAAAAACTATTGTAATAAGGGAAAAGAGACCTCCATATAGAACTGAGCTTGATTCTGAATACAACAAGGAAAAGTGGGAATTTATAGCCAAGGAGTAGGTGGGGGGTGGGGGGCGGGGGCGGTCATTGGATGGAAAATTACTAAGAGGAAACATCAGCAGTAAGGGGGATTCTTGCTAAATGATCCTAACAGGATTCTTGCTGAAGGCAGGCAGGGTGATAAGACATCTTCTGGGGAGTGTTGGGGGATGAGGAGCCTGATGAGATGTCCAGGCTGGTCAGATATCAAGGATGGGGGCTTCTGGCCAAACCAGCTTAGCAGGATTCTTGCTCTTGAGGACAAGGCTCAAGGACAGGCCTGATTGAAAAAGTGGCTCAGAGAAGCCTGACTAGAGTTTGGTCAAGGAGAGACCCTTGACCAAGATATGGAACCATTGGCTGCCTTTGACTCTGTTCATGTTGTCCGACACTAGTTTTTGTGGGGTGGTATTAAGTCACTGGGGCAGAGGCTGTGCTTTTTCCTTGTTTGTATCTACACAGCACCTAACGCAGGGTGGCACAGGTGGATGTACTTGGTGTGTCCAGCAGGGGGCAGTGCTCACTTGTGGATGACCTTTTTGAGATTCTAGGCAGGGGCTGGAAACTTTTACTTTTTTTTTTTACTTTCCACAAACTTCAACCCAGAAAGTCAGCCCCTCGCCTCATCCCCCAGGCTGGGACAAGTAGTGAAGCAGGCAGCCAGGGATGCCAGCCAGGCCAGAGTGGGAAAGGGAGGAGAGTCCCAAGGCTGGGCAGTGGTGCTGCCAGGGCAGTGCTGCCTGGAGCCTGCCATCCTTCCTGTACCCAGAACTGTTGGTAGAAGCTGGCCAGCTAGAGCCATGAGGGTGGGAGGCCTGGAAAGGGTTGTAGCAGTGACAGCCTCTGGCCGGGCCCCCTAGGGAGAAAAGGAGCTGTGTAGTCCCTAGCCTCCGAACCCCGCCCCCGCCAGAGCCCCAGAGTGAGTGAATTTCCGGACTGGGGGTGGGTGGGGGCAGGGAGTCCTATCCCAGGAAACAGATGGCAGCTTCCGAGCTGAGGGAAATGGCAGCTCCACCGCTTCCTGCCATCCCACACAGCCAGTATTTATATTTATAGGGGTGTGAGGAAAGGGCCTGGAGCAGGGAGGCTTTCCAGCCTACCCCAGGTCTTTTAGCCTTGTCCACTGAAGGACAAGCTGTGACTGGAACAAGACTCCGCTCTTTCTCTCTGCTGGAGTTGAAGCTGAAAGGCAGGCAGCCAGAAGGTCATTGACTTGGGAGGAAGGAGGTCCTGACTTAGCCCCTTGGAGCATGCTTTTCTCGGTTTAAAATAAAGATGACTCCTGCCACCCATGCCTTCAGGCTCTTGTTAAGACAGAAGGAGAGGGACATAGATGAAACAGTTTGTCATCTTGTGCCAACAACTAGGCACATTTTCTGGCACATGGAAGCACTTAACAGTGTTTGTTTCATGTCTTTAGCTGTCTTTCTCCTTGTTGTCATGTCCTTTGGGCCAGCTTTGTGGTATGGGGTGTTGGGGTTGGTGAGATGGTCCATGTGGGAGAAGCCATTGGAGCCACATTCTACCTGCTCAAGTGGAGGGCCCACAGCCATCACATTTCTCGGCCCTTTCATTCTGCAGATAGAAAGCTTCTTAAAGAACCTGAGTTTGTATGGTGGGGTCCTTGTGTGGTATTGGTAACCAAGGGAGATCTCTGGCTTGCCTTGTATTGGCCCCGAGGCAGTGACCTTTCCCCTAGCACTTCCCCACCCTCCCTGATGGTACTGATTTTGCCATTGGCCCTTTTCTACATCACCCCCAGGAACAGACCTTGTCCCTTAAAGCAGTCCTTCTCAGCTTTTTGCCTAAATTATGAGTTCACTTACCAGGACTCCCTTAGGCATACCTAGATTTTGACTAGCAAACGAATGTGTGGGGTGTGGGCTGCAGGAAGTTGGGTGATTCTGCAGACCTGGCTCATAACTACTCCTGATTCACCGGTGTGTCCAGGTACCCCAGGAGAATCATTGACTTAAAGCCAGACCAGGGAGACTGTGAGGGGCTTATGAAGAAGGGTAGATTTAGCCTCAAGCATCACACACTAGCAGTCAGGGAGAGTGGCCGCCAACAAAGAAGCCTTGGATCCTTTATGTGCAGTGTGGGGAGTTGGACAGTGGGCACTAGCCCTACCTCAAGAGAGGCAGCTGAGCCTCTCACACTAGGACCCTGGGCAAGTCAGTTCTTTATGGCCTTAGTTTTCTTATCTATGCAATGAAGTGGGGACAGGTACTCAAATGATCCATCTCCAAGACCTCTTCTGGCAGTAGTGGGAGAAGATTCTAGATGTGAGAGCACAAAGAACTAGGACCCAAAGGCAGCCTGAGAGAAGGTCCTGGGGTAAAGGAGTTTTAGGATGTTTTGCAGTTCTATAATTGTCAAGTAATTGGGGGGCAGTTATGTCTGAGTTGTCAGCTCAGTCAGTTTCTGCCCTTTGGTTGGCACCCTTCTCACTTGGGAGAAGACAGACACTCCTCTAGCCTTGCCAAGGCAGGCATCAGCAGGGCTGAGAGCCAGAGGGGATTTCTAAAGGTAGAGAAAATTTCCCATTCAGGGAGCTGGCAGGCTCTGAGCTTAGAGAAGGATAAATTTTTAGAATGCCCATCAAGATATTCAGGGCCGTCAAAGGTGAGGGAGAAAGGGCCCCCTACTCATATGCAGTATGAAGTGAATTCTCCTTTTATGGAGGACCATTTGGCAGTATCATGAGAAATCACAAATGTTCATAGCCCATGATTCACCCATAGAACTGAACCCTGTGAGATATGTTTATAAAAGTTGATCATGTGTGTAAGGATGTTCATTATACCATTGTTTATAATTCCAAAACAAACTGGAAACAAAATGTCCTACAGTAGAGAGGCGTGGCGCAGTTATGGTATAGCCTCTCAGTGGATTCTGAGGCATTGGTTCAGAAGAATTAGTGGATCTCTGTGCTAATGAGGGGCAATCTATAAGATATCAGTGAAGGACAAGCCTTAAGATATGAGTGAATGAGCAAGGTACAGGAGTTAGCAAACTGTGGCCCATTGGCCAAATCCAGTCTCATGGCCTGTTTTTGTATGGCCTATGAGCTAAGAATGGTTTTTACATTTTTAAATAGTTAAAAAAAAATCAAAAGAAGACTCTTTTGTGCCACATAAAAGTATATGAAATACAAATTTCAGCATCCATAACATTTTATTGGAACACAGCCATATTCACTCATTTATACCTTGCCTATGGCTGCAGTCTTATGTAGTTGTGACAAAGCCTAAAATAGTATCTGGCCCTTTATAGAAAAAGTTTGTCACCCCCTGGCATATAGTATGACTTCCTTTTGTTAGATCTGAATTACTGCCTGCAATTTTTCCTCTGGAGGTGGTTTCCCTGGTAGAGATACAGGAGCAGGAAGGGAGCCTAGCATTTTTCATTTTGTATCATTCCGTTCAATTTTAATTTTCTACCTTCTGTGTATTATTTTTAAAGTTCATGGGGCTTTCAGTGGGGATGTTATGGAACATTCTTTGTAACTTTATGCTCGCCGCCCGCCCCCACCCCCCGCCCCAGCCACCAATGCTTATGGAGGAAAGGCAAGTAGGAGAACCAAGGACTTGTTTGAGGTTTGTTTCTTTCTAGGTGGAGACTACCTGCCTGCTCTGTGGTCTTGATATAGAAACTGGTCCACTTAGCTGTATTGCTCTGAGACAGCTATTCGGGTCTCCACTGTCTTGGCTGGCCCCTTCCTCCCTAGCTTGCTCCTCCAGGGAATGAGTTCTGCAAGCTGCTGGTCAAAGGGCCGATGGGTCCTGTACCCCAGGGGCCTTTCCTGATACCCCAGAACAACATCCCCATGTAGAGCCTCTGCAGTCTGCCTCTCTGGTTCTATTCTTGAGAGTTTTCTCTAGTTGGGGAAGAGCACAGAGAGATTTGCAGCTCGGTCCTGCTTGAATGGCAGGAAAGGCTGGTGTGACCAAAATGCGAGGTCCCCTAGAAGG